CATTGGACCACTGGAAAATGATGGTGCCGAGATAGTCGTGGGGAACAAAGAAATGGCTGAGGAACTGAATAATTACTTCGTGTCAGTCTTCACAGTGGAAGACACGAGTAATATCTCAAAAATTCAAGAGAGTCAGGGCGCAGAGCTGAGTATGGTGGCCATCACCAAGGAAAAGGTGCTAGTAAAACTGATTGGCCTGAGGGTGGACAAATCACCTGGGCCAGGAGATAGCTGAAGAGATAGTGGAAGCGTTAGTGGTGATCTTTCAGGAATCACTAGAGTCAGGGAGGGTCCCAGAAGACTGGAAAATCGCTAGTGACACCCCTGTTTAAAAAGGGAGTAAGGCAAAAGATGGAAAATTACAGGCCGATTAGCCTAACCTCGGTCATGGGTAAGATGTTGGAGTCCATTGTAAAGGATGAAATTTCTGAATATTTGGAAGTGTATAGTAAAATAGGGCAAAGTCAGCATGGTTTCATCAAGGGAGGGTCATGCCTGACAAATCTGCTAGAATTCTTTGAGGAAGTAACGAGCAGGGTAGACCAAGGAGAGCCAATGGATGTCATCTACCTGGATTTCAAAAAGGCCTTTGACAAGGTGCCACACAGGAGGCTGCTGAGTAAGATAAGGGCCCATGGTGTTAGAGGCAAGGTGCTAGCATGGATAGAAGATTGGCTGTCTGGCAGAAAGCAGAGAGTGGGGATAAAGGGGTCTTTCTCGGGATAGCAGCTGGTGTCAAGTGGTGTTCCGCAAGGGTCAGTGTTGGGACCACAACTTTTCACTTTGTACATTAATGATCTAACTGAAGGAACTGTGGGCATTCTGGCTAAGTTTGCAGATGATACAAAGATAGGCGGAGGGACAGGTAGTATTGAGGAGGTGGGGAGGCTGCAGAAGAATTTGGACAGGTCAGGAGAGTGGGCAAAGAAGTGGCAGATGGAGTACAATGTGGGAAAGTGAGAGGTCCTGCACTTTGGTAAGAAGAATAAAAGCATGGACTATTTTCTAAATGGGGAGAAAATTCAGAAGTCTGAAGTGCAAAGAGACTTGGGAGTTCTAGTTCAGGATTCTTGCAGGTTGAGTCAGTAGTCAGGAAGGCAAATGCAATGTTGGCATTTTTTTTGCAAGGACTTGAATATAAAAGCAGGGATGTACTACTGAGGCTTTATAAGGCTCTGGTCAGGCCACATTTGGAGTATTGTGCGCACTTTTGGGCCCCATATCTCAGGAAGGATGTACTGGCCCTGGAGTGGGTTCAGAGGAGGTTCACGAGAATGGTCCCAGGAATGGAAAGCTTAACATATGAGGAACGTTTGAAGACTCTGGGACTATACTCATTGGAGTTTAGAAGGATGAGGGGGAATCTAATTGAAACTTACAGAATACAGAATGGACTGGACAAGTGGATGTTGGGAAGATGCTTCCATTGGTAGGAGAGACTAAGACCCGAGGGCACAGCCTTAGAGTAAAGGGAAGACCTTTTAGAATGGAGATAAGGAGAAACTTCTTCAGCCAGAGAGTGGTGAACCTATGAAATTCACTGCCACAGAAGGCTGTGGAGGCCAGGTCATTAAGTACATTTAAGACTGAGATAGATAGGTTCTTGATTATCAAGGAGATCATGGGTTACAGGGAGAAAGCAGGAGAATGGGGTTGAGGAACTTATCGGCCATGATTGAATAGCAGAGCAGACTCAGTGGACTGAATGGCCTAATTTCTGCTCCTATGTCTTATAGTTTTATTTAGTAAATACATAAAAAGCTGATTAAGTTTGTAATAGGTAGGTATAAACATTTATGGTTCTAAATGACTCCAAAACACACACACACACAAATACATGCACGCGTGCGCACATTGAAAGAAAAACTTCCTCTGCAGAGTATAATTTTTTAAAAATACACAAACTAAATAAAGTCAGGCTTTTAATCAGTGTCTTGCCTCACATAGACTGCTATCACTAAACATAGGCAGTTATCACTGACATCTCACACAGTTAGTGAAGAGGGTGCCAAGTGAAGTTATTTGGCAGCCTTTCAAAGTGAAAAGCTACTTCAGTTTTTGAGGGGTCACTCTGGACTCACCAAAAAGGTTTCTCCAGAAAGGCAGAGGATGAGCTGTGTTGTTTATCAACAGAACGCAAACAGTATCCAAAACGAATTCATAAGCCCAGGCACATAATTTACAGCAAACAATTTCAAGTGATTAGCTTAAGCCACATGACTTCCAAGAAGTGTCTTCAAGAAAAAATGTACTGTTAGCGATCCCTTTAAATAAAAAGAGTCTCAATATCTCTTCACTCCAAATTAACTTCCCACAATCCTTTAAATATGAACTCAGTTGGAACAGTCCCAACTTCCCAATTCTACCTTTGTAATGGACATTCTTCATCGCTGGAACCATTGCTGTGAATCTTTTCTGCACCCTCTCCAATCTTCACATCCTTAAGATGCACCCAGAACGAAATGCAATACTCACACAGTGACAAACTAGTGTCCTATACAAGTTTAACACAACCTCCTTTCTTTGCCCCTATTAATAAAGTCTAAGATACCATATGCTTTATTAACTGCACTCTTAATGTGTCCTACGTCCTTCAATGACTTAGCACATTCAGGTTTTCCTAATCGTACATCTCCTTTAGAGTTTTACCCTTTATTAAAAAATATTCTCAAATGTTATTCCTACCAAAATGCGTCACCTCATAATTCTCTGGATTAAACTTCATTTGGGACCTATTCGCACATTCCACAAACTTGTCAATATTGTTTTGAAATATTACACTATCGTCATCATAATTCACAATGTTTTCATGTTGTCTGTAATCTACAAACTTTGAAATCATGCCCATTGCATCAAGGTCTGAAACATTAATTAATTAATTTTTTTATTCATGGGATGAGGGAGTCGATAGCTAGGCCAGCATTTATTGCCCATCCCTAATTGCCCAGAGGGCGGTTCAGAGCCAACGACATTGCTGTGGGTCTGGAGTCACATGCAGGCCAGACCAGGTAAGGATGGCAGTTTCCTTCCCTGAAGGACATTCGTGAACCAGTTGGGTTTTTCTGACAATTGGCAATGGATTCATTATCATCATTTAGATTCTTAATTCCAGATATTTTATTGAATTCAAATTCCACCATCTGCTGTGGCAGCATTTGAACCCAAGTTCCCAGAACATTACCTGGGTCGCTGGATTAACAGTCTAGTGATAATATCACTAGGCTGTTGCCTCCCCTTATCAGGAAAAGCAAAATATAATTGCATGATCCTTGTTCACTCATTCAAACCAAATGGTTTCTGCCCTCAATCATTCCAGGGCATCCTGTTTACAGCACTGGAATACCCTCTCAATCAATATCATCAACTCTACCCCGCAAAATCAGGAAATATCTGTATACAGGAATATTTAACACCCAGTCCTGCCCTCCTTGGACATAACTCTCACTTATAGCCACAGCATCATATTTCAATGTGGCAATGTACATCTCTAACTTAATAGTCTTATTTACCACATACTAAACATTCACATACAAACACTCTAATACTAATTTAGACTCAGTTATTTCCTCCTTTACACCAACCTTGCATATTAAATAATATTCTTTATTTTCGTGCTATCTACCTCACATACTACATTTTGATATTCTTTTCTGAAATATAATCACTTGGCTCCCATATCCCTGCCGAATTAGTTAAAATAGAACTGTCGTCGTCTGAGGAGTTCCTCAGGTTAATGTCCTAGGCACAATCATCTTTAGCAGCTTCATCAATGACCTTCCCTCAGAAGTGGGGATGCCCGTTGAAACTTTCCTCTGACTAAACTTTTGACCATCTGTCCTAATACGTCAGAGTCACAGCATGGAAACAGGCCCTTCGGCCCAACTTGCCCAATTTTTTTTTATTCGTTCATGGGATATGGGTGTTGCTGGCTAGGCAGCATCTATTGCCCATCCCTAATTGCCCAGAGGGCAGTTAAGAGTCAACCACATTGTTGTGTGCCTGGAATCACACGTCGGCCAGACCAGGTAAAGATGGCAGTTTCCTTATCTAAAAGGACTTTAGTGAACCAGATGGGTTTTTCAGACAAACAATGACAGACTCTTAATTCCAGATTTCTTTCCTTTTGAATTAAAATTCCACCATTTGCTGTGGCAGGATTCAAATTAGGGTCCCCTGAACATTACCTGGCCTCTGGATTAACAGTCCAGTGATAATACCACTAGGCCATCGCTTCCCCTAATATCAATTTTTGTTTACTGCTGCTCCTCGAGTCTTTTGCTATGTTAAAATTACTATGTGCTGTAAATGCAAGTTGTTGTTCCTATTTTCAATACCAGGTCCCCTTACCAGGTTGGCCAAATTGAACATAGCCAGCTGTTTCAATTTGAAAACATCCTTTGGATCAAGGAATCAGAAGCTACTAGCAAGTTTATTGTTATATCCGTTTCCCACCAACCTCCACCATTTGTTGAATTGTAGACTCTGAATTGCTGCAGTATAAGTGGTCCTAGTCAAACAGATTCAGAACAAAATAGGACACCTACACAGTAAACCTCCCTGCTGCCAGAGTAATCCTTTAAGCAGGTGAGGAGAGGCACAAACAGTACAGCACATTATTGAGCAATGTCCCCTCTACAGATTAAGTGGTGGCCTAAGTCACCTCAAATAGAGCAAATGAAGCAGCTACTACTTGGGTCCAGGGATTTGCATTCATTAAATAATAAATACATTTGCAAATTTAAATAAAAGTACCAAATGGTAGATGATCAAAGATATTTAAAATATAATTGCAAGGGGTTGTTTTGATGATTTAGCATGCGCATGCATTATTGATAAATACATTAAACCAGCTCTGGGAAAAGAGCTTTCTATTTTCTGCAATTTAGAAATACAATAACATAGCTAAGAAAAATAAAATCAGTCTGCAGAAAGCCAGGATCACCAAAAATAGTTTATTGCAAATTTGAAAGCATTATAGAATTAAATAGATATTGACTCACCCTGCATTGTAGACAAGTTAACTTATACATGTACAATCAGGATCCAGAGGCTGTCACAACATGTTTACTGTCTGGAGACAACCTTATTCCAGAAGACAGCCAAGATTGGTTTTTAAAAGAACAGCTTTGGAGAACGTTTTCAGTAATACTTAGAAATTCTTTGGTCCCAATTCTCACACGAAAGCTGCACGTAGATAAGGAAGTGAGGAAAAATGTACAGGTTAGATTTGGTTAGCTTAGACAAAAGAAATTGAGGAAAGCAAGAAATTGAGGAAAGCATGAAGACAGAAGTTGCTGCTGTTAAAAAAAACGTCCTTAAAATTCAATTTTGTTATTGTTACCTTGAACAGGACTTATCTCACTTTCTTTAGTCAAGTACTTCGAGATGGTAGAGGTCAAGGAGATTTAGAAGGTATTGTCAATAGCACTCATTGTTGCCACAGTGCATCAGTGGTGAAAGCAGTGAATGTTTAAGTTAGGGGATGGGGTGTCAATGGGCAAGTTTTGACCTGAAATGTACCAAGATTCTAGAATGAGGTTGGAACTGCACCCTTCCAAGCAATTGGAGAGTATTCCATCACATTTCAGGCCTGTGTCTTGTAGATGGTCGGCAGACATTGGGAAGTCATGAACTACTCGCTCCGAAATTCTCATCCTCTGTCTTGCTCTTGTAGCCATATAGAACGTATATGGCTAGTCCAGTTCAGTTTGAGATTTTCAGCAATGGTAGTGCCATTGAACATCAAACATCAACGGTTAGCTTCTTTTGTGTTGGAGATGGTCATTTTCTGGCACAGTGTGGTGCAAATGTTACTTACCATTTATCAGGCCAAGCTGGATGTTGTTCAGGTCTTGCTGTAAATGGTTGAGAGTGAGTGAGGAGTTCTGCCTATTTAAAGTCCACCTGGATTGGAAGTGGGGAAAAAGGGAAAAGAACACACCAGTAAATCTTAATATAAAAACTACTGAAATACTCAGCAATGTTGGAGGTACAAAGGGCATTTAATTAGGCGTGATGGACAGGCTTGAACCCCACCAATTGTGGGGAGGTTATGGTATTATCATTAGAGTATTAATGTGGGGACCCAGGTAATGTTCTGGGTACCTGGGTTTGAATCCCATCATTACAGATGGTGAAATTTGAATTAAGCAAAGATCTGAAATTAAAAGCTAATGATGGCCATGAAACCATTGTCAATGGTCAGGAAAAACCCATTTGGTTTAGTAACGTCCTTTAGGGAAGCAATCCTTACCTTTACTGACCTACATGTAACTCCAGACGATAGCAATGTCATTGACTCTCAACTGTCCCCAGGCATTTTGGAATGGGCAATGACAGCTGGCCAACCACTGACACTCTCATTTCATGATTAATTAAAAAAATAACTTCGCCTCTCTGCCAGACTTAAGTCATTGATGAGAAGGCCTGGGGTTGGCCCTCACTCCCTACTGCTAATCAAGGGTCTTAAGTGGGCAATTAATCAGTTACAGGAGGGCCTAGTGACACAGCATGCACAAGTAAAACTGTACAGCTAGCCTGTGGTCTCCCAGCCTGCAGGGGGCTGGGGGATCTCTGGTTCAAAGGCACTCGGTGCTTGATCAAGAGGCATTTCATGAGGAAGGTATGACTCACTGAGCCAACCTCTGGTTTGTGCTGTCCACCTCTAAAACATCCCAACCTCAAACTTGACCCCATGCAACCCCTCCCACATGACTTGGATTGTTCCTCAGTCCTGGTTTGATTGGCCGTTCTCAGTGGGCAGGATTCCATCGCTGGAGTCATTGATTCCAGGAATGACCAGCTGGTGGTTGAATATTATTGAAACGGATAATCATAGAATCCCTACAGTGTGGAAGCAGGTCATTTGGCCCATCGGGTCCACGCTGGTCCTCTGAAGAGCATCCCACCCAGACCCACCCCCTTACCCTATCCCTGTAACTCTGCATTTCCCATGCGCCACCTAACCTGCACATCTTTGGACTGTGGGAGAAAACCGGAGCACCCGGAGGAGAATGCGCAAACTCCACACAGACAGTCACCAAAGGTGGAATCAAACCTGGGTCCCTGGTGCTGTGATGCAGCAGTGCTAACTACTACTTATTTCTATCAATCACATCCTTTTTTTGATCAATACTTTCCTAGACTGGATGTTTGATACACACTGGGCGGGGGGGTGGGGGGAAGGAAAAGAGAGAGAGAAAAAGAGAGAGAGAGAGAGAGAGAGAGAGAAGCACTTCCAACACCTATGAAGATGCAGTCAGTGATATCATTGTCAGCGACATCCTGCCTGGCTGAATTAGGCAATTGGTTCCCTAACATAAACCATGAATATGGCAACATTTGGGAAAAATTAGAGTGCAGTGAAATTATATTTAAAAATAAAGAAGTGAGAAATCAATGACAAACAAAACTTGCGACAAATCCAGATCAATCGTGCAGTTGGTACTGGCAAAGAGGATCTCAAATCCACCTCTGACTCTCAATGCATCATGTTAATAAAATATCAATCAAATGTATCTTTAAATGATACATCTTTTTAGCTATCACTTGTACTATCAAAAAATTGCAAAACCAGTTGGTATTCTCTCACTCCCATTATCAAATCTGGAACTCAGGTCCAAAACAACAAGGTTTCACTTGCTTAAAAAGTTTCATAGTTAATATGGTCACATGATTGTGCGAATACAGGAAAGGAGAATCAATTTTCAACCTAAATACACAGAAAAAATGCAATTAAACCTGATAGCTGACATTCTGGTAAAAACTGCAGTGTTCAACTGGCCAGGTGCTGTAACAGGTGGCATGTACCATCTTGGTGGGAGAAACTGCACAAGCATTGAGGACCATAGTGTGGTTCATTTGCAAATGAACCAATTTGGTTGGACAAATGTCCATGGTGCTGCTGCGTTATTGTTTCTAAAAGGCTAACACTTTGATAGACCTATTTATTTTCAAATAAGTACGTTCCATTCTTTTCCTCAAGCTCTTTGCCCAAAAACAGGTCTGACCCACATCCATAATGTCTACTACAGATAGGCCAAGACGACAGGGTTTGAATTCACTGGCAGCTGGGAAGGGAGCTGAACTTCATGGTGTTAGCACGAATCTGATCCACTCTCGCCAACCAGCCTTCCAAGGAGTCCAAATATATGCCATACTACAAGTATGTAATTTAAATGGATAGTGATGATTTGTTACTTCAAAAGTTGCAGCTTTTGTTTCAAAAGTTAACATTTTGAGATGCAGAATATTTGAATGCTGGAAGACTGCAAAATGTTACAGAACAGAAGGATTTAGAAGGCCTCATCTATGATTCACAGAAAGCTAGAATCTAAGTTCCGTGGGTAATAGGGAAGGCAAATGGACTGCTAGTGTTTATTCTGAAAGGGAATAGAGTATAAAAGTAGGGAGGTTTTGCTAAAATTATACAAGGCACTAGTCAGACCACTGTTGGAATACTGTGGACTTTTTTTAAAAAAAAGTCATTCGCAGGATGTGGACGTCACTGGCCAGGCTAGTATTTATGGCCCATCCCTAATTGACCAGAGGGCAGGTGACAGTCAATCACACATTGCTGTGTGCATAACGACCAGATAAGACTGGCAGATTTCATTCCCTAAAGGACATTAGTGAACGAGATGAGTTTTCCCAACAATTCGCAATCGTTTCATGGTCAATATTATACAATGGGATTCTTAATTGTAGTTTTTTTTTTATTGAATTCAAATTCCCACCATCTACCATGGACATTACTTGGATCTCTGGATTTATAGTCTAGCAATAATACCACTAGGCCATTGCCTGCCCCTTCTTTTGGGGTCCCTTTTGCCAGAAGATCACAGGGAAAGGTTTACTGGCATTGAAGGCAGTCCAGAAAAGGTTCATTAGGCTGTTGCCTGGAATGGAAGGACCGTCTTATGAGGAGGTTGTGTGTGTTGGGCCTGTATGCATTAGCATTAGGAAGAACGAGAGGCAAGCTTATTCAGGCACACATGATTATTAGTGAACTTGGCAGGGCAGACGTAGAAAGATTGTTTCTCCTTCTGTGGAGTACCTAGGACCTGAGGGCACAATCTCAGAATAAGGGGCTATATTTAAGACACAGATGTGGAGGAATTTCTTCTCACACGGAGACAGTGAATGCGTGCAGTTTTTACTGGGGAGGGCTTTCAAGGCAGAGATGGGTGGATTTTTAATCAGTGAGGGAATCAAGAGTTATGGGGAAAAAGCAAGAAAGTGGAGTGGAGGACTATCAGATCTCTTGAATGGCACAGCAGACTTGATGAGCTGAATGACCGACTTCTGCTCCTGCAGCTTATAGTCTTATGCAATAACTCATTGCCATTCATAGCTTTGGTTCACATAGAAGGGAGTTAATATGATGGAATTATATGTCAAAAATTGTTTAAAGCAAAGTAGAAATCTGTAAAGAAAAATTAAAAACTACAGCTTTCTTCGGAATTTAAGAAACCATGGCAGGAGAAAGGAGGAATACTGGTAATGGTTCCCTCAATTTCTATCGTTGTAGCCAAATTTTCTAATTCTGGACATAAAATGTAAACATGATATATGCAGTTTTGTGCATTTATTTTAAAATAGCACATGAAATGTTTGCAGAATACAAAAGTATCTTGATGGGTCACAATTAAATACAACAACTGATGTATTATATAATAAGTGAGTTAAAGGATTAATCTCAGGTCTATACCTACTCCTTTAGCAGAAGTTGCATGGGGGAGAAGAATTAGGAAAAGTAAAAGTCTAAGCTCAATAATGATTAATTTAATCACATTTATGCATTTCAATAAAAACTTTCTGAACAGTCTTAACAACATACATAATTTCAAATGGCTAGAATAATCCAGACTAAAAGCTTCACAATGCTCAAAGTAAATCTGAAAGGTACCTTTGGAAAAACATTACTTACATTGCTTTCCCCATGTTCTTCCGCCGAAAGCAAAGAGAGAAAGGAAGGCAACTACATCTGACAAAGCAAAGGTGAATTGATTTTCTGTTTAGAAATGCATGAAACCTCTGAAGTTTTAATAATTACAGAAGTGGTACCACTGCTCTGTGCAATGAATCTGTAAAAAAGAATGCATTACTCTAAATCTTAAAAATAGTAAATTTGTCTCAGAGATCCTGGCCTGTGTAGAGAATTTCAACTTTCAGCACCAAATTTCCTCACTGCCCAGACAGAGAATTAAAAGATATAAGGGACAGCACAAAACTAAAAGGGCTTACAAAAATGCCAAAAACAAATCCCACAGTATCTGCTAAAGGGGATACATAGAGATCAAATAACCACGATCAGTTTATAAGAGCTTTCAGAAGAGATTCTGAAAGTAAGCTCACGACGGACATCAAAATCAATAAGAAAGTTTATAGTTACGTAAAGGGAAAGACGGTGGTGGGGAATAATGGTGACCCACTAAAGACTGTAAGTGGGGATACTGTTCATGACTATGGGGAAAATAGCAGACATGAATAATTACTTTGCATCAGTATTTACTGTAGAAAATGACAGTTTTCCAGAAGTCCTGAGGAAATTAAGAATGCATTGGGAACAGGAACTGACTAAAATTAACACAAATAAAACATTAATGAGGAAATAAACGGAATTAAAATGTGCCAATTGCCTGGGACCTGAAGATTTCCATCCGAGGGTGTTGAAGCAAGTAGGGGAGCACATTGTAGACATCCTGACTATAATCTTTCAAAATTTCCTAAATACAGACGTCATCCCGCTGGATTGGAAAATTTCACATCAGTCTGCTTTTAAAGAGCGAAAGCAGAAAACCAGGGAATTACAGACCAGTTAACCTAACATCTAGGGCAGGGAAATTGTTGGGAGTCTAAATTCAAGGATGGGGTAACTGAACTCCTTGAGAATTTTCAGTTAGATCAAGGAGACACAGTATGGATCCACGACAGGTAGGCCATGCCTGACAAACCTCCCTGACTTGCTTTTGAAGATGTGACGAAGGGTGACAGGAGAATTTTCAGGTATATAAAATGCTAAAGGCGATTGTTAAGTTAGATGTCAAACAGATGTTCTCCCTTGAGGAACAGTCTAGAACAAGAGGTCACAGACATAGAGTGAGAGGAAGTACATTCAAAGATGAGATGAGGAAAAACTTACTTCAGTGGGTTGAGAATCTGTGGAACTTACTGCCTAGAGTGCAGAGGAGGCTGAATCAATCAACAGGTTCAAGAAAGAAATAGACAGGTTTCTCATGAATAGTGGGATAAAGGGCTATGGGGAACAGGCAAGAAAGCCTAATTGCCCAGAGGGCAGTTGAGAGTCAACCACATTGCTGTGGGTCTGTAGTCACATGTAGGCCAGACCAGGTAAGGATGGCAGTTTCCTTTCCTAAAGGACATTAGTGAACCAGACGGGTTTTTCCAACAATCGACAATGGATTCACGGTCATCATTAGATTCTTAATTCCAGATATTTTATTGAATTCAAATTCCACCATCTGCCATGGTGGGATTTGAACCCGGGTCCCCAGAACACTATCTGGGTCTCTGGATTAATAGTCCAGCAATAATATCACTAGGCCATCGCCTCCCCACTTAAGCTCCTATGAAAATGTGTATGGATGTTGTTTATATGGACTTCCAGAAGGCATTTGATATATTCCCACCTAACAGACTATTAACTAAGAAAGAAGCCCATGGAATTGAGGGCAAAATACTGACATGGCTGACAAATTGGTTGATGGCAGGCATCAGAAGGTAGATAATAGGTAGGTACTCAATTTGGCAGGATCTGACCAGTAGTGTCCCTCAAGAATCTGAGATAGGGTCTCAATTATTTCCATGATTTATTAATGGCTACGATAATGGCATATAAAGTCATATATCCAAATTTGCTGAAGACACAGTTAGGCAGCATTGCTGACAGCGTAGGTGATAGCATACTAGTATAAAGGGATATTGCTAGACTAAATGAATGGGCAAAACTGTGGCAGATGGTGTTAAATGAGGTTATCCATTTTGGACCGAGAAAGCATAGATCAGGATATTTCTAGATGGCATGGAATTAAACACTGTGGATGTCCAAAGACCTGGGGGTTCAGGTGGATAGATCTGTAAAATGTCAAAAACAGGTGCAGAAAATAATCAAGAAAGCTAATGGAATGCTGGCCTTTATACCGAGAAGACTGGAGTACAAGGATGGAGAAATTACGTTGCAGTTATACAAAACTCTGGTTAGACACCATTTGGAGTACTGCAAGCAAATCTGGGCACCTTAGGAGGGATACATGGTCAGAGAGAGTGGGTCGGTGGCTTAGAAGAATGATGCCTGGACTTCAGGGATTATACAAATGTTTTCTTTAGAATTTAGAAGGTTAAGGGGTGATCTGATCAAAGTCTTCAAGCTATTACCAGGAAAAGACCGGGTGGATAAAGATAAACTATTTCCACTAGTTGGAGATTTAAGAAGTAGGAGGCAGTCTGAGAATTAGCGACAGACCATTCAGGAAAAATAATAGGAAGCACTTCTACTCACAAAGGGTGGTAGATGTTTGGAACTCTCTTCCACAAATGGCAGTGAATACTGGATCAGTTGTTAATTTAAGTCTGAAACAGATAAATTGCTGTTACGTAAAAGGTATAAAGGGATATACCTGCCTTTGGCACATACAGAGGGAGGTCACAGATTAGCCATAATCTCAGAGTGGTGGAGGAGGCTCGAGGCTGAATGGCCTACTCCTGTTTCTATGTTGCTACTATGAGGGCAAAATGAGGGCATCATTCTGTTCAGTCAAAATATAGAGGATTGAGAAAACAATTTCATTGAAAAGCAATATCAAACACAACAGCTGTCAGAAAGGGGAGCATGACATCACAACATAAAGGAGCAATACCACAGAGGCTCTGGCCACATACTGTCAATCATATCTAGGGAGGCGAGACATATGCCAAAGGCTTGGAAGTATAGTTGAGGGTGTTAAGAGAAAAAACATAAAACTGGATTTAATGCTCCATCTCATTCAACATCAAATGACTTAAAAAGTAGATTGAAAAGGTTAGCCAAGCCCGCAGCAGTAGTTCTTGTCTGAAGACATGGAGTTTTTAAAAAAAACAAAGTAACATATTTGAGCCCCACACAAATTGAAATGCAAAAATACATTTCAAAAGTTCATAAATGTGAAATTGAAATGCCAAGCTCAGAGTTACTATTTTCTCAGTCAACCACCATCTCAGTGAGCTATGTGCAGTAATTGTTCAAATTGTGGCATCGCTGCAAAATTGAAACTCAACTTTGGATTTTTTTTTTTTAGGACAATGGAACAAAATGCAACATTCCACATAAGCTAAATTTATTCATTATTAGTAGACTACACCCATCCTTCAACCAGCAGGATGAACTCAAGCTGCACCCCAATTATCTAGAGGATGGTCACTGGACCTGAAATGTTAACTCTTTTTGATTTTGTCCCAAATTATCTGCTAGTCCTACTTAAGCTCTTCACCAGTTTCAGTGCTGCTGGTCAAACACTTCTTCAGGAATGCTTTTTCTCCTGGCAAATTAGGTCAGGAAACCAAGTCGAAGAAGCTACACTCTACACCTCCACTGTACAACAGTTTGGTTTGGCATTACCCATGACATCACATAATACTTTTTCTGGGATGTATGAATAGCTTTATTAATAAAGATAGTACAGGGTGTAATTATAAGCAACAGTAAATAATGTTCTTTTTCCAGATTTAGATTAGGAATGGTCATTTAAGTAAGCTATTGGAAGACCAGTACTGCATCTGGAATACAATTGAGGCTTCAAGCAAATGGGAAAAAATTGGAATAAAACTGTGACTATTGTTAAGTTTGCCTTCACATTACACAAGCTGGTATTTGAATATTATTGATCAAAGAAATTTTTTGGAAGACTCCTTCCAAGTGAGAATGGGGTAACAGGAAAACAAATCAATATCAAACAACACTGCATTCACCTAGTCATCACAATTGGGACCTTCTGCTGGGTCACTAGTTATTGGTTAGATGCAGGAACAATGCACAAGTTTTCCCCTGCAAAAACTGATCCACTGAAAACATCCCAACATTATCCTGAATTAGATGTCCTTAGTGGGACAAAGTAGGACAGAACAGTCATTTAGTATGGTTCAAATATTCACTGGATAAACTTGTAGAACTGTGATAGGTTTCATTGACATCCACTCAAAAGTAATAGAAAAAAATTATATTCAATTGTTAGATTTTGACTTGCAATTCCAAATTTGTCTTCTGTGGCTAGATCTTTCCAGAGAGAAAAGTGTGAAATTCATTTGATTGTGCAGCCAAGAGTGTTCATAAATTCCAACCCCTACCCTTCTATCGCTATAGTAATCGCTTGAATTCATCTCACCATACAGAGTGCTTGTTTGAAAAAAGAAACAATGAATCAGTTATCCCAAATTTTGTACAGGATGAGCTAAATTTTAACAAGGCTTAGTGCAGTGAAAGTAAGGAGTAGGTACAACACACAGATTCTAAGCATACAACATCCAAACCATGTAAACCAAGAAAAATATGACAGCACAATCACTTTCATTTCTGATCCACAGTCAACTTAATTAAGAATATAGCTTAAAAATTGATGACCACTTCAGTAATAAATTATGCTTCCATTGTAAATTTATAAAACCCACATTTGCAATTTAGTCTTGCTGTAAAGTTTAACATGTTGATTCTGGAGCTAGATTAATGTTACATCCTTTCTGAAATATTGTTAATGTGCAGAGATTATTTGTTGCTTAGCCTTGTTTAGAGGGATTTCAATAACCATAAAGTCTTCAGCTAGTGTAACTTCCTGTCCTTCCAAAACCAGCTTAGCCTGTGTCTTCAGTTCCGTTACATCATCATCGCCTGCATTCGTAAGGGCTGTAGGCTTGTACCTTTGACTGAAGTGAGTAAGGACCAGCCGTTTAACTTTACATGATTTTGCAAACTCTGCAGCAGTCTTTGGAGTGCAGTGTCCATGCTCTTCAGCCTTGTCTGACTGATTGTCATCTAGTGTGGCCTCATGTACCAGCACATCAGCATCAATGCAAAGGTTCTTACTCACGTCGCCCACAACACGTGAGCAATCCCCCAAAATACATATTTTCCGACCTGGAAGGGGATCTTCCAGTACATCCATGGGACAAATTGTAACTCCATTGTTTAGAGTGATGGTTTGTCCATTTTTTAGTTTCCCATATAAAGGTCCTGGTTGAACACCTATAATAATCCAAACCATATAAAATTAATGGAAGAAAAGTTAAAAATGGGTGAGTAAAAAGTAGAAAAGAGACAAAAATACATAAGATGTATTTTTAAATTTTAAGATAATTCTTTTTGGCAGCATTACCAGACTGATGCACCATTGTGATCCACAAACAAATTGAATACTGTACAGAAAGAAGGACCCATTGTGCAGACAAAGAAAGATGGCCCTAAAAATTAAACAGTCAAATCTGGAAATACGCAAAACAATGCTAATTGCAGCCACTCAAAAAGAGGATCTCCTATGATGTAGAGGAGGAAAAGAAGTGCTGTTGGTAAGCTGTGGTGCCTTCAATTTTTCCTTTAAACACTGGTATAATCACCACTTTCCAAGTCTTTCACAGAAGTTGCTATTATGGAACAAAGCGTTTTTACCATCAACGCCATAGACATGGATATTCCAACAAAACACAATGTGAGGAAATTACAAAGCAAAACCACTAGTGAATACTTCCACAAGCCATACTTTTCACAGAATGATTACAGCACAAAAGGTGACCTTACAACCTGTCAATCCAGATCTCTGCACATGCAGTTTAGCCAGACTCACTCTAACTCTATCCTTGCAGCCCAAATAATTTTTCCAGTCTAATTTCCTTTGAAGGCCATGACTGAATCCATACCATACCCTGCAGTCTCAGTGCCCTCATTGAGTTAAGAAATAAATTCCTTTGGAGGTTTTGCAAACCACATAAAATCAGGGTCTTCTGGTTCTCAATGCTTCTGTCAATAGCAAGCTTTTGTTCATCGACTTTATATTCCATATAATGTGAACAGCGCTATCAAATTTCTGTTTTATGTTTTCTTCTCAAAGTACAATTCCAGTTGCCCAATCTATCCATGTAACTGATGTCACTCACCCCCTGCTCCAGAACCATGCTCAAAGATTGTTACTGTGCCATCTCTAAAGTCTTCACACTCTTCACAAAGTGCTATGTCCATAATTGTATACAACACTACATCTGAAGCCACACCAAATTTTTAATACAAGTTTATTGGAACATTCTTGCTTTGTGCTCTATGTCACTCTTCATAAAATTCAGGATTCTCTATGTCTCTTAATCACTCGCTCAACCTGCCCGACCACCTTCAATGATTCCTGCACAAATACTCCCAGGGTTATAGAAGTTTCCATAGCACAGTAGTCAAAGTCATCTCAGACGTAAATGTGATCCTCAGCAAAAACGTTACATCCCTAGGTTTCTCTGTTCCAAAACATCCTTTGGACATGTATCCTTTACTCTATATTCCCTCCTTTATCTTTCTACCAAAATGCACCACTCTGCATCAAAATACATTGGTTACACGGTCACCCATTCCACCAGTCTATGCCCTCTTGAAGTCCTTTATTAACCTGGAATTGTTGGTTGGCTTGCCGAGCTGACTAGTTTTCATGTAAATGTTTCATCCCCCTTCTAGGTGACATCTTCATTGCTGCCTAGCTTCCGGTGAAGCACTATTGTCTGTTCCGTCCTGAATTTGTGGGGTCCGGTCTGTTATGGTGGATGGTTGGTTCTGGTTTTGCTCTGTAATGGTATGTAGATGGGGTCTATTTCAACATGTTTGCTTATGGCACCAGTGGCTGAAAACCAGGTTTCCAGTAAATATCATGCTTGTCTTTGTTTTACTTGTCCTAGTACTGTTACATTGTCCCGTTGAAATAGACCCTATCTACATACCACAACGGAGCAAAACCACAAACAGAACTACCCACCATAACAGACTGGACCAGATAAATCCAGAACAGAACATCTCCCTTAAACTTTCCCCCTCTGACCCCTGTAATTGAAACTTCAACCCTGGGAAAAAGCCTCTGACTATCCACTCTATCTATGCCTCATAATTTTGTAGACCTCTATCAGATCTTCTCTCAGCTGCCATCTTTCCAGTGAAAACAATCCCAGTCTTTTTAACCTTTCCTCAGTGTCAATACCCTGGAGACCAGGCAACATGCTGATGAATCTTCTCTGTACTCTCTCCAAAGTTTCCATATCCTGCGGGTATCGCAGTGACCAAAACTGCACACAATACTTCAAATGCAGCCTAACAAGGGTTTTATTTATCTGCAACATGTTTTGCCAACTCTTCTACTCCACGCCCTGGGCAATGAAGGCAAGCATGCCACTTGCCTTCTTAATCACCTTGGCTACCAGTGTTGCCACTTTCAGGAAACCATGGACCTGCATGCCCAGATCCATCTGAATGTTAGTGTTCCTAAGGGTTCTACCATTTACAATTTATTTCACAACTAAATTCGATCCTCCAAAATGCATCACCTTGCATGTGTCTGGATTAAACTCCATCTGCCATTTCTGTGCCCAACTCACCTATCTATGTCCTGTTGTATACTTTCACAATCGTTGGCACTATCAGCAACTCCACCAATCTTCATGTCATCAGCAAACATGCTTATCAGACCACCCACATTTTCCTCCAGATCATTGATATATACTATAAACAACAAATGACCTAAGACTGACCCCTGTGGAACACTACCAGTTACCAGTCTCCACTCTGGAAAACATCCTTCCACCACTACCCTCTGTCTTCTATGATCAAGCCAGTTTTCTACCCTTCTAGCCAGGCTACCCCGAATCCCTTGTGATTTTAGTTTTTGTGCCAACCAGCCATGTGGGATTTTATCAAATGCCTTACTAAAGTCCATATAAACTCCATCCACAGCCTTTCCCTCATCAATTATCCTCATTCCCTCTTCAAAAAAGCTTTGCTTGACAATCTTTGATTCCAATTACCCAGGAGTCAGGACAAACTTATTCAACAATGAAATTTACCTTCTTCTATAGAAGTATTATTTTAGATTGTTCCTTGTCCATTGCTGGAGCCAGCCTGCACCTCATGATACTATGATCACTTTCCCCGAAAATGTTCACCCACCGCCGAATGAACTACCTCATTCCCCAGAACCAGATACAGCAATGCTTCCTTCTTCACTGGACCAGAAACACACTGATCAAGAAAATTTTCCTCAGTACAGTACAAAAACTCTTTCCTCATCTCTGCCCTTTACACAGATACTATTTTAAGTTTTGATATATACATTTACTATGGCAATGTAGTTCAAACAACCTAATGGAAATCTCAAAAATAAATTTTTGGATCATCAAGATTACTTCATATTGGGAGTGGAGAGAGATTCGGCTTTCTACGGGCTTTAAAAGTACAATGGAAAATGTAATCATTTGACAAAATCTCGAAAGTTACCCATCTCTTTCAGTTTTTGTGTCTGAAGTCTTCCTGGTCGTGTTCTCTCCTCAATTACAAATCCGAAAGATGGTATACGATGAAAAAGCTTGAAGGCCTTTATGATGAACTGTTCTTGAGTGACAAGATTGTAGCAGTCTTCCTGAGGATTAAGATAAATTGTTTTCCCTTGCAATTCCTGAGGGTGAAGTTGATCATTCGCTTTCAGCGCACAGGGCTCCCTCCATTCCTCAGGGAAACACTGATCGTCTGTTGGAACCAATTCATGGACTACATATGGGAAGACCAATTGTGAGTGAGAAAGTTCCATGCTCGTCCTCAAAAATTTCCTTAATCCAATAGGTCCATAAATCTCTACAGGCTGTTTGTTTAACAGAGAACCACTTTGGAGACTCATGGTGCACAAGAGACCAGGCAACCCAAATAGATGGTCACCATGGAGATGAGTAATGAAAATCTTTGTGATTTTGCCTACAAAATACAACAGAAATATCAGAACATTATATGATTTGTATCTTAAAATTGCTCATAGCAACATACATTTATATAGTATTGCTAACATGATAAAACATCCAAGATCACTTCACAGTAATGCTTTAAGCCAAATTTATTGGTGCATCTCTATAATCTTTTAGGACAGATAAACAGAAACCTGGTCATAAGAGGTAGTTCTGCACTGTCAAGGACAGATGTGAGGGTGGGCTGACAGAGAGAAGTTCAAAACTTTGGTCTCAGCACCTGAAGACACATCCTGTGACTAAACTGGGGATGCTCAAGGAGCCAGAAATACAGCATAGAACTCTGGGAGGGTTCTGAGATCAGAGGATAACACAGAATAGGAAGAATTGAAGTTTTGACCTTCAGAGTATTCCTTTGGAGGAAATTTCAACCAATTCGTACTGGATATCAAACTAAGTCTTACAAGTAAGCTAGTCGATGGGAGTGAGAGGTGATAGTAGTAGAGCCTGGTATCACCAACCGACAATTAAAAACTATCATGTTTTTGCTGATGCTATCAAGATCAGTAAAGCCTCTGACAAGGTCCTTCATGGCAGACTGGTACAAAAGGTGAAGTCACATGGTACCGGGGTGAGCTGGTAAGATGGATACAGAACTGGCTTAGTCACAGGAGACAAAGAGTAGCAGTGGAAGGATGCTTTTCGGAATGGAGGGCTGCGACTAGTGGTGTTCCAAAGGGATCAGTGCTGGGACCTCTGCTGTTCGTGATCTACATAAATGATCTGGAGGAAAACGTAGCTGGTCTAATCAGTACATTTGCGGATGATACAAAGATTGGTGGAGTTGTGGATAGTGAGGAGGATTGTCAAAGGATACAGCAGGATATAGATCAGCTGGAGGCATGGGCAGAAAAATGGCAGATGGAGTTTAATCCGGACAAGTGTGAGGTGATGCATTTTGGATGGTCAGGTACAGGTGGAAATTATACAGTGAATGGCAGAACCCTTAAGAGAATTGATATGCAGAGGGATCTGGGTGTGCAAGTCCACAGATCACTGAAGGTGGCAGCAAATGGAAGATAAGGTAGTAAAAATGGCTCATTGGAAGGTGCAGTGAGTATAAGGATATACAAGTTATGCTGCAGCTTTATAGAACTTTAAGTTTGTGGATGCTTCGGAGAAGGTACAGAAAAGGTTTACCAGGATATTGCCTGGTATGGAGGATTTTAGCTATGAGGAAAGGTTGGGTAGACTGTGCTCGTTTTCATTGGAATGCAGGGGATTGAGGGTGACCTGATAGAAGTTTATAAGATTGTGAATGGCATGGATAGAGTGGAAAGTATGAGGCTTTTTCCAGGCGGAGGGGTCAATTATTAGGGGACACAGGTTCAAGGTGAGAGGGGGCAAGTTTAAAAGAGATGTGTGAGGCACATTTTTCACACAAAGGGTCATGCGTGCCTGGAATGCACTGCCAGATGAAGTGGTGGAGGCAGACACAATAGCAGCATTCAAGAAACACCTGGCTGAATACATGAATAGGAAGAGAATAGAGGGTTACGGATCCTGTAAGTGAAGATGTTTTAATATGGAAGGGCAAAATACACTGGCGCAAGCTTGGAGGGCCAAAGGGTCTGTTCCTATGCTGTATTGTTCTTTGTTCTTATTTTAACTGATCCACATCTGACTCCAGACTGTCAGCATTGTGATGGGCTAAAAATGCAGACCTAGCCAGTGATGCTCATGAATGAATAAAAAGAGAAAAAGGAAACTATGACAGATACAGAAGGCTCAATACTGCAGAAAGCTAGACTATTACATTAGTTGAAAAGAGGAGGAAATGGGAATAGCAAAGAAAATCAAGTCAAACAAATATTTTTAATAAATGCATTAAGACTAAATATAGACAAAGATATTCGAAATGCATAAATAACTAAAGATAGAGTAAGGTTAATTACAGACCATGGGTCTATTCGGGTAAGCTGAGAGAAGTGGGGAATGTTGATAGTGTTCTTAACTTGAGATAACAAGTTGTAGAGCTGGATGAACACAGCAGGCCAAGCAGCATCAGAGGAGCAGGAAAGCTGACGTTTCAGGCCTAGACCCTTCTTCAGAAAACTTAATATTTTTCAATAACAGACAGGACAATGCAATCACTGCATTCAGGAGCTAAGGAATTTATATCGTTGCAAGTAAATAGACCCCCACACCTGGTCAAAATGTATCCTAAGTCGTTAAGGGAATAGAGGAAAAATGATGGAAGCTCCAAATGACTATTTCCAGCTGTGGTACCACAGCCATGGAGAATAGCTAACACTGTCCCATTGTTTAAAAAGACAGAAATGAATAGGTTAAGATAACCTAATCTTGGGTGGAGGGCAGGCAGTGAGAGAATTATTGTAAAAAAATTTCTCAAGGTATACCTTAATTTGTAAATCTGTAATCAATGATAGTTCCCATAGACTTGTTAATGGACAGTTATGCATCGTTAACATTACTGAGTCTTATCAGGAGGTACCATACATCACAGCATACAAGTTGATCTAAATATAGTGCTCTTAAGGCGCAGTGCTCTTAAGCTTAAAGGTCCAGTTCAAATCCCACCTGCCCTGGAAGGTGTGTCACAGCATTTCCCAACAGGTTCATAGAGATAACACAATTTAATCTGGTTTTTTTGGTCCCAAATATAATGTTTGATATACAAATCAAATTGCTCTTTTAGCCATGACATGCTATGCCCACATTAATATTCAGTCTCGATTCCCTGTCACATAAATGTATTTTTTTAAGCTTATAACTGGGTATACAGGATCAAGCAGGTGATATGGCTGAATTAAAAAACCACAGGATAAAAGACCATAAGACATAGGAGCAGAAATTAGACCATTTGGCCCATCGAGCTTTTTCCACCATTCAATTATGGCTGATAAGTTTCTCAAACCCATTCTCCCGTCTTTTCCCCGTAACCTTTGAATCCCCTTAACATTCAAGAACCCAACCACCTCCGTCTTAAATATACTCAATGACCTGGCCTCCACAGCCTTCTGTGGCAATGAATTTCATAGATTCACCACTCTCCGGCTGAAGAAGTTTCTCATCTCTGTTCTAAAGGGTCTTCCCTTTACACTAAGGCTGTGCCCTCGGGTCCTTGTCTCTCCTACTAACGGAAACATCTCAACGCCCACTCTATCCAGGCCTTTCAGTATTCCAAGTTTCAATTAGAACCCCCCCTCATCCTTCTAAACTCCACCGTCTATAGACCCAGAGTCCTCAAATATTCCTCATATATCTTTCATTCCTGGGATCGTTCTCGTGAACCTCCTATGAACTCGTTCCAGGGCTAGTACATCCTTCTGGATATATGGGGCCCAAAATTGCTCACAATATTCTAAATGTGGTCTGACCAGAGCCTCATAAAGCCTCAGAAGTACATCCTATTGAAGTATATTCTAGTCCTCTCAAAATAAAGGCCAACTTTGTATTGGCCTTCCCAACTAGCGGCTCAACCTGCAAGTTAACCTTGAGAATCCTGGACTAGGACTCCCAAGTCTCTTTGCACTTCAGGGTCCCGGGTTCAATCCCACTCTCGGGCGACTGCCTGCGTGGAGGTTGCACGTTCTTCCCATGCCTACATGGGTTTCCTCCGGGTGCTTCAGTTTCCCTCCACATTCCAAAGATGTGCAGGTTAGGTGGATTGACCATGATAAATTGCCCATAGTGTCCAGGAATGTATTGGTTAAGTGGATTAGCCATGGGAAATGCAGGGTTACAGGGTAAGGGGGTGGGTCTGGGTGGGATGCTCTTCAAAAGGTCAGAGTGGAAAAATGGGCCAAATGGCCTGCTTCCACACTGTAGGGATTCTACGATTCTGTAACTTAGCTGACTGCATACTGCTTGTGACTTCATGAAAGCCAGATCAGCGTCCACAGTCATGACCCAATAAGAACAGGGAATTTCATTCCACAAAGGAAGTATTTGTACTTTATGAAATCTGTCATCAACAACACTATCAAGGAGCACCTGGTTTGCAATAACCTACTCACCGATGCATAGTTTGGGGCCTGCAAGGTAAGAACTGAAGATTTTCACTGATAATTGCACAATGCTTGAGGGTGGGATGCTCTTCAGAGGGTCAGTGTAGACTGGATGGGCCAAATGGCCTGCTTCCCACAGTGTAGGGATTCTGTGACTATGTTCAACAAGATCTGGTGACCTCCAAGAGAAAATTAGAAGGGATCAGAGAGGAAATTGTTCACCCAGAAGGCAGTGATGATCTGAAAATCACGGCCTGAAAAGGTGATTAAAAAGCAGTAACCCACGCAACATTCAAAAACGTGAGCGTGCAGAACAAAGTCTGTAACCAGCAGGCATAACGTGACCAAAATCTGAAGTGTACCTGACTGGGTACTTGCCAGCCAGCATGACCTCTGTGTTGCAAATTTCTGTACTTTGGTGTTTCTTCCACACTGTGAGTGCAAGGGTGGGAGGAGTTTGGGACAGAGGGGGCACAGGAGCATAGGGGTGGGTGAAAGAAAAGGGAAGGGCCCGCTGCCTACCTGCTTTCAGTTGGCTCCGCATGAACTGAGTCTGAGTACCCTCTCCGCAATCGAAAAGCCAGCACTCGCCTTCGTAGCGCAGCGCCACAGCCGAGGCCCCGCGGCTGGGGGATGGATACGCCGAGCCTGTGCCCAGGAAAGTCAACTCCATCGCCATGGCGGCCCGAACGGTTCTGCGCATGCACACTGCTTGACCCAAACCAGGACCCTCCCCTTCGCACTCTACCCTCTCCATTGGTCCATTCCTACAAACTTTCCACCAATCAAACGCCGATATCCATTGATTGACGTATTAGGCTAAAGCTGCTCCTCAGGGATGAGCAAAAACAGAAGTTGCTGAAAAAGCGCAGCGTCTGTGGAGAAAGAGAATCAGAGTTAACGTTTCGGGTCCGGTGACCCTTCCTCAGTTTTGAGGATGCTGCCAGACCTGCTGAGCTTTTCCAGCAACTTCTGGTTTTGTTACTGATTTACAGCATCCGCAATCCTTTCGGTTTTTATGAACAAGGTGCTGGTCACTGAACGAAAACAAAAGAAAAGAACTGCGGACCCTGGAACTCAGAAACTAAAACATCAATTGCTGGAGAAAATTCAGCAGGTCTGGCAAAACCCGTGGAGAGAAAGCAGAGGTTTCAGGTCAAGTGATCCTTATTTACAACATTCTGCAGCCATGTGTTGGTGCTCAGTTGAAGTCTGTCATCTTTCTACTTGGCGTTGAGCTGGATTTGAGTCGACTCGGACCCAATATTATTTTGAGATAACAAAGTGTAGAGCTGAATGAACACAGCAGGCCAAGCAGCATCAGAGGAGCAGGAAGGCTGACGTTTCGGGCCTAGACCCTTCTTCAGAAATTCTTTTTCAACTACTGACTGCACAGAAGAAAGCCAGTCTATCTACACTGGTTCTATTACTTAATGCCAGTCACAGCCCATCCAGTCTGTACAACTCCAAAACAAGCACATAACTATTCTAATCTCATAGCCTGTTTTCCTCACCTCCCTCATCTTTTCCCCATATCCCTGCACACCATTTCTAATTAAATAATATCCAGTCATTTTAAATACCTCAGTTGAACCTGTCCACATTTCCAGGCAGTGTATTCCATACCCTAACTGTATGAAGAATGTTTTCTTACATCACCCTTGTTTGTTCACACATCACTAAGTATTCCAGTTGTGGTCTGATTAATGCCTTGTATACTTTTAGCAAGATTTTCCCTTTTTTTTTAAATACTCTACTCTCCCTGAAATGAAGGTTCCATTTCCTTGCCCTATTATCTGCTGAACTTGGACTGGGGAAGACAGTCTATCTACCTGAGAAAATGTTTCTTATCTATATTAAAAGGAAGATTCTCTTATTAAACTTATTTCCTTAGTTTTAGTCTCCCCAGAAAAGGAAATATCCACCTAGTATTCATGCCGTTTCAAGATCTTGTATGTTTCAATAGGATCACCTCTTATTACATAGAATTGTACAGCACAGGAACAGGCCCTTCAGCCCACAATGTTGGACCGAACATGATACCAAATTAAACTAATCCCTTCTGCCTGCCCTTGGTCTATATCCCTCCATTCCTTGCATATTCATGTGCTTATCTAAAAGCCTCTTAAACGCCCCTATCGTATCTGCCTCCACAGCGCGTTCCACACACCTACCACACTGTAAAAAAAACTTGCCCCTCACATCTCCTTTGAACTTTCCCCTCTCACCTTAAATGCATGTTTCCCCCGCCCTTAGTTTTAGACATTTCAACTCTGGGTAAAAGATTCTGATCATCAACCCTATCTATGCATCTCAAAATTTTAGACTTCTATCAAGTCTCCCCTCAGCCTCTGCTGCTCCAGAGAAAACAACTCCAGTTTTTCTAGCCTCTCCTTATGGCTCATACCTTCTAATCCTGGTAATTCTCTTCTGCACCCTCTCCAAAGCCTTCACATCCTGCCTGTTATGTGGCGACCAGAATTGAACGCAATACTCTAAGTGTGGTGTTAACCAAAGTCTTATAAAACTGCAACATGACATCCTGACTCTTGTACTCAATTCCCCAACCAATAAAGGCAAACATGTCATACGCCTTCTTCACCACCCAATCTACTTGCGTAGCCACTTTCAGGGATCTATAGAATTGGACCACAAGATCTGTCTGTACATCAATGCTGTTCAGGGTCCTGACATTAACTGTATCTATTCTTGTAAACGCCAAAGTATATAAATAACCTCAAAAACCTTTCTTCATGGGATTGGCCCATAATCCTAAGATTGAGTCAAGTGAACCTTTTCTGAAATGCTTCGAAAGCAATTATATTTTTTTTTCAAATAAAGAGCCTAAAGCTGTACACCTTACTCCAGATGTGGTCTCACCAAGACCCTGTACAACTGCTGTAAAACTTCCCTACTTTTATAAAAACCAAAAGAACTGCACCAGGAATACTTGCTACCACACAGTCAAATGTTACCTTGACAAAGAGACTAAATACATTTAAGGGCAGATTAAATATACATCCAAAATAAGAAAAGAAATAAGGTTAAGCTGAAAGTTAGATAAGGAAGGTTAATGGAGGGTCAAATAGGAATTAGAATCCAGCCTGAACTGATTTGGCTGAATAAATTATTTTTCTGATATATATTCTACTTGATGTTTTATTTCATAAAGAAACGTGGCCCTGCCAGTGACCCACTTCCCTAATTATCCTTTTGAACCGAGGGTTTTGTGAGGCCATTTCAGAGTCAACCACATTACGGTGACCCTAGTGTCACGTGCAAGTCTGACCAGGGAAGGATGGCAGATTTCCTTTCCTCAAGGACCTTGGTTAATCAGATGGATTTTCACACAATTGATGCCAGTTTCATGGTCCATGGTTAATAAGACTAGCTTTATATTCCAGGCTTTTTAATCAAACATAACTTCCACCAGCTGTCATGGTAGGAATTGAAACCATGCCCCCAGAGTATTAACCTGGATTACTAGTCCAGTGACATCACCATTAACTATCAATTCAGACAATTTTGCAAGAGGAAACCAACTAATCAGCATCTACTATGTCAAACATTTGACTGAAATTTCAATTCTTCTTTCATCAATTGCCAGAGATAAGCAATCCTCATTCTTCCCACTAAAATGGGAGATTTCAACTTACCACTATTGCCATTTTGTCTCATTACTTAACTGGGTTAAATCCTTTTGAAATCTCCTCAACGCTTGTTTTCCAATCTAGCTTGGTGTTGTTCACATACCTGGATATATTATGTAAATTTTTTGAAGTTATTGATAAAGATAAGAAATAATTGGGTCCAAACAGTCCATGTTTGACATGATACCATGATTGCAGATCCCATGCAGTCTCCCAATATCAGGTCAAACCACCTGCTGACTACAACATAACACTCCCCACTCATCCCACCTCCAACATCATCCTCAGCTGATGAATCATCACTCCTCCATATTGAATAGCACTTGGAGGCACCACTGAGATTGGAAAAGGTGCAGAATGTACACTGTTTGGTGAACTTCTATGTTCATCACCAAGAGTGGCTCAGCAATACCACTGATTGAATTGGCTGGGTCCTAAAGGACATAGCTGCTAGACTGGGTCTGCAGCAGATGGCTCGGGATCCGACAAGAGAGAGTAAAACGTATTTGACCTCATCCTTACCAGTCTGCCGGCTACAGATGCATTTGTCCACGACTGCATCAGTACGAGTGACCACCGCACAGTCCTTGTGGAAACCAAGTCCCAACTTCACATTGAGTCTTCACATTTTACCCTGTGTGTGACACAATAACCACATTAAATGGAATTGACTGAACAGATCTAGCAATTCAAGATTGGGCATCTATAAAACACTATGGGCCATCAGCAGTAACTGAATTATATCCCTACACAATCTACAATCTCTCAGCCTGGTATATCCCACAAGGTACCATCAAGCTAGGGGATCAACCCTGGCTCAATAAAGAGTGAAGGAGGACATGGCAGGAGCAGCACCAGGCATACCTAAAACTGAGGGGTCAACCTGATTTACCTACCAAGCAGGACTACTTGCACGCCAAATGGCAAAAGCAACAAGTGATGGACAGAGAAAAGTGCTTCCACAATCAACGAATCAGATCTAAGCTCTAAGGTCCTGCCACATCCAGTACTGAATGGTGGTGGACAATTAAAATCTCACTGGAGAAGTTGGGTCCACAACTATCCCCATCCTCAATGAAGGAACAGCCCAATACATCATTGCAAATGATAAGGCTGAAACATTCGCAAAAGTCTTCAGCCAGAGGTGCTGAGTGGATGATCCTAGCATCACAGATGCCAGTTTTCAGTCGATTTGATTCACTAAACATGATACCAAGAAACATTTGGAGGCGCTGGATACTGCAAAGGCTACAGGCCCCGACAACTTTCTGACAATAGTACTGAAGACACGTGTTCCAGAACTTTTTGCACCCCTAGCCAAGCTCGTCCAGTACAGCTATAACACTGGCATCAAACCAAAAATGTGGAAAGTTGCAGATATGTCCTGTACACAATGAGCAGAAATCCAACCAGCCAATTCGATCATCAGTAAAGTGATGGAACGCGTCATCAATGGTGCTATCCAGCAGCACTTGTTTACCAATAACCCACTCAGTGACATCTAGTTTGGGTTCCACCAGACCCACGCAGCTCCTGACCTGGTTGCACCATTGGTTCAAACAGACAAAAGGTCTGTATTTCAGAGGGGAGGTGAGAGTGACTGCCCTTGACATCAAGGCCACATTCATTTTAAGACAAAATACCAATAGCTGAAAAAGCTCAGCAGGTCAGGTAGCATCTGTGGCCAGAAATCAGAGTTAACGTTTCGGGTCAAGTGACCTTTCCACAGAACTCAAGTTCTGTGATTTACAGCATCCTCAGTCCTTTAGGTTTTTATTTTTCTTTCATTTTAAGCTCTTATAATCAAATAAGTTTTGAATTGATGATACTTTTGAACTACTCTCTGTTTTAGTACTGACTTTCAGTTGATTGTAGAAGATGATCTCATTGTCACAATCAAGGGAACACTGAATACAATCCAATTTTCACAGGAGATTTCTTTAACATCACTGGGGAAAAGGGGGCTTGTTGATTTCTTCCTCAACCGTGCCTAAGGATACTACTCCTTTGCACATCCTTTCCGGCTTCTGGGGTACATTGCACACTAGCTTTGCTTCACTACATAGAGAT